CAGCCGGCGCCAGCCGCGGCAAGTGGGCGACAAGCACTAGGGGGCGAGAGGGGCAGGATCAGAGATCGAGAGGTGGCCCCCTTTGGCCAAGAAGATAAGTGGCATCTCCCTCATGGAGCTCGGCGCCCGCGCGCCGCGAGGGCCCATGAGATGGCAGTGCAAATCATGGGGCGCAGCAAGACAGATGGGATACCTCCAGCAAGAGTAGACGATCCCGTCGGGACCATGCATTGAATCTCGCCTCGCTCCCACAATGGCTTCAAACTCTTCAAACTCGATGCGCCATCTATCGCCGGGAAGGCCAGGAAGGGGGGCAATATCGGATTCCAGCTCAGGCCGAGGAGGCGCGACACACTCAGCGTTGCCAAAGACTTGTTCCCAGTGGCGAGCGAGATTCTCCCCGGCCTAATCCATCGCCCCACGCGGGGCCCAAGCGGCGCCGAGAATAGCCCCGATGGGGGGCCGTTTCTGAAGCGGCCGCCAAAGATCACGATGGCGCTGGAGGCGAGGAGCGCAGTCGAGCTTTGACCTCAGCATCGGTTTCGGCATCCGCCTCGCCCTCCAGTTGCGCAGTGCGCTCGCCCCGTGGAGGCTGAGCGCGGCCGCGCAAAGCAGGTGGATCACGACGGGCGCGCGGCTCCCAGGCGATGAAGCGGGAGAGGGGTGGGCGGCGAGAGATGGCAGCGGGGGCTCTCTCTGGATACCGAGCGCGAAGGCCCCTGAAAGCAGTGAGAGCAAATTGCATCTTCTCACCAGCCGATCTGGCAACTTCGCGAGACAGGCGGGCACGCGCCCGCGTGCTGGCTTGGAACGTACAACGCTTAACCAACTCAACCTGATCAGAAATCGAGCCCCCGCTGTCCATTCCGGCGATCAGAGCGCAAGATGGAATCGATTTATGTTCAGACGGCCGATGCTTCCGAAAGGTCACAATCACGGGAACGCGTTCCAAAACATCCTTGGTGCTCGTCGCTTCCCCGATGGCGGAGCAGGGGGCGGTGAGGTCAGAGAGGGCAGCAGCAGGGTTAGCAAGAGACGCGCGATCCAACTGGCTGACATGGCGCATCATCCCTTTGGCAATCTGACGCCGGGTGGGACCTGGTTGGCGGGCCTCAGTCCATCGAGGGAAACTAGCGCGATAGCCATCGTGCCGATAGCGACCCCCCGGCCTCCACCCAGAACCGCCCCCGCGCTGCATCTCACCTTCTTCCAGCGTAAAATTGAAGCCCCCCACCAATCAAGATCAAAACGTTCTGCGCCCCCGAGAGGGCCATGTGGATAAGGCGAAGGGATCTTTGAGAGGCCCAAGTAGGTCCCCCAGAGGCAGGAAGGTGGACATTGCGGATCCAGAGCGAGCCGAGGTCTCCAACGCATTTCGTCATCAGGATCCGACCATAACCAACGCCCCCATGACGAACCTCCGCGAACAGAGAGCACGGCCCAGGAGATGCGGCCCAGGAGATAGCATCGTGAGAACGCCGCCGGCAATGTCAGAAGCGTGCCCAGGTAATCCAAGAGACCAGCGTTGCAGATCGTTCTGAGGGGCCCGAGCGCCCCCGGCTGTTCCGCGAGCCCCTCGAATGCAAGGAATGTTCGCGCGACGAGCGCGCCCCCAATATTTGCCCGTGGCGCCGGGGAGCGCGGATGGAAGCATGAGGGATGGAAGCGAAGCGCCCTCTATAGTTCCAAGCGGGCGCAGACGGGGGGGCGGGGCAGGGGGGGCAAAGGGGGCTGCATTTCACTGCGTCCACCCTCATCAGGATGGGTGCTGGAACTGGAACTGCTGCTAGAATCAGAGCCCGAGCTGCTGGAACAAATCCGGGCAAACATATTCAGCCCAATCTGACTCTCAAGGGCGCGGGGACCTTCCGAAAAATTCGGGCCGGGGGCCCCCGGGGGGGAATGGAAATTTGATCCGCGCGGCAACCGAACCAGCCATCGTCCTTTCTAAATAGGCCGCACGGGCGCGGCGTCGAAGGCGCCCGGCCATTTCCGACGCAGCTCAGGAGTGTTGAGATTCAAGGCTGTCAAACTTGAGTCGTCAAAATTCACGTGGATTTTGTCGGCGCGCCCCGGGCCGCAGCGCAGACGAAAGAGAGGGGCGGGATCCTCGCGAGAACGAAGATGGAAAACATCGCCACCGATCCCGTTCGAATTAGCCCGACATCTTACCTTGTTCAATTCTTCCTGCATTGCACCCCGGAACTTTCCCCATCATGCAGAAGAGGGGCCGATGCTGAGGAGAAGCGTTGCGGCGAACGCGGAGGGGCCAGAGCTCCGCAAGGCTCCGCAGGGTTGGACATGGGATAGGACTGACTGAACTTCCGGAAGTTGATCTGAAAGTCAGGAGGCCATGGCGGTAGTAGGGAAGTCGAAAGTGAACTTATTCTGCAAGTCATACGCGCGAATTCGAATGAGCTGGGCCGCCTGATGTGTAGCACACTTGGCGACAATACCCTTAGCGACACGTTCGAGACTGGCAGCCATCTAACTGTCCTCGAAGCCGAGAATGAGAAGACGGTGGGCATCCTCGAAAGCCGGACCTCCCTTCCTGTGGTCGATCCATCACCGACTGAACTGTCAACGGCCCTGCGCCTCCCATGATTCCGAAGAACAGCATGAGACAAGGAAGAACGAAATGCTGCAATCAGCAGGGCCTGTTTTAACGCGTCTATCCTGCTTTCTGCCTTCTCGAAGCGGTCGACGAATTCTTTGATTAACTGACCTTGGATTCCGAGTGGCCGTCGCGCCCGATATATCATGATCGATCATGATGGCGGTCGACACCAGGTGGACATCGAGCATTGTTTAAATTTCTGCCATGTCTGACATGGCGGGGCGAAACAATCTGGAGGGTGTGCACACTGAGGGTGGAGCGAGGCACAGGGGAAGGGGGCGCGCACGCCACCTCTTGGCAGGACCCTCGAGTCTGCTCATCGGCTGCTCCAAAGCTGGAGCCACGGAGCGACGGTTCCAACCTCAGCCAAAATGGATACGGATGATGAAGTTGATGGTGATGATGCTTTTTATTATGATGATGTGATGATGGTGATGGTGGTGTCGATGATGGTGCTGATGATGATGATAGTGATGCTGATGGAGATGACGATGACGATGACGATGAGGACGAGGAGGAGGAGGCAGAGGAGGTAGAGAAGGAGGCGCAACAGAGGGCGGGATGAGGACCTCCGCCAAGGCGAAGAGGAACAAACGAGGGGCAAGCAAAACCTATTCTCATCAGGGGTCCCACCGTCGGAATATTTGTTTTGGTTTCCTCTTCCGCGTCTCCCAAAAAGCTTCGCACCTCTCTTCTGAAACGCTGGCTCCCGTGCTGCCCAGCAGGTCACGACCGCGTTGCACGGACCCGCAGCACTGCTCCCCCCCGGCCCAATTCGTCTCGTCTCGTTTTCATGTCGTGGATTGGCTCTCTGGCGGCCGTTCGGAACGATCCAGGCATCCCCAGAATGCTCTCGGCGAGGCGCAGCGCAAGTGCTGGAGAGCACCCCGAGGCTAGAAACCCGCTGCAAGCCGGCGGTGACGCCCGAAAGCCTGGAACCTGGAACCTCGAGCCCATCCCCTTTAACGTTGCCCTGCCGCCCCCGAGGCCCCCCCCCCTCCCTCGTGCCGGTCACGTGCCCTCCGCGCCCTCCGCCGCCGCGGGCAGCGCGGCGGCATCCGCCGCGGCCGCCGCGGCCGCTGCGGCCGCCGCGGCCAGGGCGGCGGGGTCGGCCAGGCCTCGGGGCGGCTGGAGCTCCTGGCGGGGCCGGCGGGGGTGCGCTGGCTGGCCGCGGGAGCGGCCCGGGGGCAAGGAGGCCCAGGCCTCCAGAGGCTCGAGGGTCCTGCCAGCCCTCTGGGCGCAGGTGGGCGACGAAAAGAACCGGGTCTTACGCGAGATGACGTAGCGACCTTACGCAGTGGCTTTCGCGGGCCGCCAGCGCGGCACGCTGCCTTGGACACGAGGGCGCTTGCGCGCGACCTTACTCGGGCAGCATACGCGCCAATGTTGGCGAAGTCGAACCCGTTCTGAAAGCCGCTCAAGTGCACTCGGTCATTTCTTCATCTGACCTTCTACCCCCTCCTTCCCCCCTGGAAACGATTCATCACTGTTTCTCATCAGTATGAAGGCGCTCAGGGACACACGCATAAATAGACAGAAATCCGAGCAATCCTATATCTTTATAGATAGTTTCTTGAGTTTAGTTTCCCCCCCCACTTCCCGTATTTGTATATCATCCTGGGGATCGACAACTAAGTTCCTGACAATAAACACCCCCTCCCATGCCCGACCGGCGACAAGCCGGGAACACTGCTCATCCCTCCACCCTACTCCCTTGCATAAGACAACACAAAATGCACTTTGCGCCAAGTCTGAATCACGCGCGGAGGCCCCGCGATGACTGCGCTAAGGCTTTTGACACGGGCGGGGGGGGGCCAGCATGATCTGCCTGCTGTGTGCAATGCCAACACCCCCAACCATCCCTGGCAAAAAGAAGGCCAGGCGCACTTCGTGCCAAAATCTCAAACTCATGCGCGGGCGCCCCGCGATGACTGTACAGGTCTTTGACAGGACCGCGTGGGAACCCGCATGTTGCCTGCTGTGTGCAATGCCAGCACCCCCAACCATTCCTGGCAACAATACAGTAGGAGCTCGACCACAAGAAACTTCTCGCAAGAAACCGACGACGACGACGAAAAAAGACGACGACTACTACGATAACGACCTCGAGGAGGAGCATGAGGAGGGAGGGAGGAGGGGGAAGAGGGACGAGTGTGCTAACCGCCGAGAGAAACAGGGGGGACTCAAAACTAACGACCTCCCGAGGTTACACACAAACTAGGTAACCGAACTTCGCCCATCACGCCGCGTCATGCGCAACGCGCGGTCACCTTCATGCGCTCGCGTCCAGGCGCCGCCCCCTTGAAGAATGGCAACCGGTCGGGCCCAGACCGCGACGCGCGAAGCGCGGTTATTTTCGCGACCCTGGAGGGATTTAGATGAATTAACTGAAGGCGTGACGTGTATTGTCATCTTCCGCGGACGTGAGCGGCCGATATTCGTCACGCTCACTGCCCGACGGTGCACGTGGGGTGACCGACATCGCCCGAGGCGATCTCAGGGAAGATTGAACAGCGCCGCCAGGGCGACAGCCAGGGCGCCATCGAGCCAGACGCCTCCACCAGCGGCCTTGTTCAGGTCGGTGGGAAGCCCGTTGCCGCTGCCGTCGCTGTCATCGCCAGTGACGCTGTCGCCGACATCGGCGCTAGTGGTGGTGGCGGCGTTCTCGGGCTGCCCGGCAACAGCACCCTCCGGCTGCGAGAAGCTCTGCAGGACGAACGAGCTGGCGTCCACGCCAGCGCTCTCTGCGAGGTTCGCCACGAGCGCGACCACGAAGCTGTCGATCTCCTCGGTGTCGTTCTGCTGCGCAGCCTCGATCTGGTCGGCAAGCTCCTGCACCAGCTGCGCGGCCTTCGCGAAGCCCTCGCTCGGGAGCAAAATGTCGTAGGTGGCCGACCAGGCGCTGACCCCACCAACAGCATCATCGCTGGTCGAGAGCCGCCGGGCTATCGGGGAGGCGTCCACGTGCACGTTCGCCTCCCGCGCGCCGATGTACTCGGCGAGAGCCGCCGCGACTGCGGTCTCGACCAGCGCCTCCATCAGGCCGCTAGCCTGGAAAGACATGGAGCCGCCTATGCTGGCCCAGCTCGGCGAGGCGGCGCCCAGCAGCACCGGGTTCGCCGCGCCCTGCCCCGCCCACACCGCCCACTCCTTCTGGCCGCCCCCGCACTCGCAGCACATCTGGCCAGCAGTGAAGTCCGCATCGTCGTAGTACCCGCAGAAAGTGGGCGCGGCGGCGTAGCCGTCCGCGCATAGGTAGCCCCCGCTATCCTCCGCCGCCCCCTCACTTGACGCGCACTCCTGCTGGCACACGCCGCAGTGCGGGCACGCGTGCACAGCGAGGACCCCCTGGCTGGCGTCGTAGTCGACGGCGCAGAACGGGTGGTTCGGGTTCCCGGGCTCGTACGTGGCGCAGCCGCCCCAGCCGGCGTCGAAGGTCCTGGACCCGGCCGCACAAGCCCCCTCGGCGGTGCCCCCGCCACAGGCGCAGCAGGCCTCGATAGCAGAGTGCCCATTGGCCGCGTAGTCGTCGAAGGTATCGTAGTACGAGGTGTAATAGAAATCCGCCGACCCTGCCGGCGTGTGGAAGAGGCTATTCCGTTTGACTCGTCGTCGTCGTCGTCGTCGTCGTCGTCGTCGTCGTCGTCGTAGTCGTCGCCCTCGCCGCTCCCCTCCTCTTGGTCTAGGCCCGTCGCCGCTCCCCCCACTTTCACCGGGCCCTCAGCCTCGAGCGCGCCAGCCACAGCGAAATTGAGCAACGCTGTAGTTGAGTCGAAAGGAAACCCCTTCCATTTGATCCCTTCCCCGCCGGGGAGGAGGGTCCTGGGGGGCTAGCCGGGGGTGGTCCCAGGCGGTTCGGTGCCCAGACAAGCCCCAAGACGCGGCAAAAGTTCTCCAAGATGCCCCCAAGACGGTCCTCGAGGGCCCCGAATCGCCGAAGTATCGGTCCAAGTCGCCAAAGTAGCCTCCAGACGCCCCAAAAGGTTTCCCAAAACGCCCCAAGTGGCCTCCAAGAGGACTTCCAAGAGGGCCCCAAGAGGCAAAAATGATAGATTTCCCTTAGGTTTTGACAGATTTCGGCATTCTCGCCTTAACAGCTTCACGACCGCCCCAAGATGGCCCAAGAGGCCTCCAAGAGGGCCCCAAAACGACCCAAGAGGGCCCCAAGACCGCCCAAGAGGCCTCCAAGACAACCAAAGAGGCCCCCAAGACGGCTCCAAGAGGGAGCCCAGACGGGGGACCCGAACGGTCATTTCAAGCCCTCGGCCTGAGAAGCTCCCAGGAGGCCCGCCCTAAGAAGCTACCCAATAGGCCCCAAGACGCCTCCAGAGACCCTCAGGAAGCTCCAAGAGGCCCTCACGAGGCTCTCAAGCGGCCCCCAAGAGCCTACCAAGAGGCCCCCAAACTGCCCCCAAGAGGCCCCCGAGAGCGCTCGTCGTTGTCGTCGTCGTCGCCGTTCAGGGTCGGCGGCACTGGCCGTAAGGTCTTCGCAATAATAATAGAAATAGTCATCGTAATAGAAGTAGTACCAGGAGTAAGAATAGCCGCCCCTGTCGGCATGCCAGTTCCACCCGTAGTGGCCCCCAGAGGTGCACCAATTTTTCTCGACGTAGTCGCCGCATGTATAGTTTTCAGAGTCCACCCACCCGATCGTCACGTCCATGCATGCCTCACCCCCGCCGCATGCCACACAGGCCTCGTCTGCAGAAACCCCCTGCCTCTGGTAGTCGTCGAACGTCCCCCACAAACCCTCCCATCCAAGCCCATAATCGCCCGTGCTCGTACACCACTGCTCCAAGGCGTACGTGGCGCAGGTGTCTTTATCTGGCCTATCCGTCCAGTCCCTCGGCGAATCGGCGCGCCCCTGAATGGCGAACTGGACCGCGGCACACGCACAGCACGCCTCGTTGGCCGTCATGTTGAAGTTCTCGAAGCCGCTCCCGAGCGACAAGCAACGGTCACCCTCGGCATACCACCTGCAATTGAACCAAAGACCGTCGGAATCGTGCCACTCCGCCACCCCGTCCGGTACGCGATCTTGGCAGCTACCCGGCGGTGCGGGCGTCGGTGGCGGCGCGGGCGTGGGAGGCGGCGCGGGCGTCGGTGGCGCCAGGCACAGCTGCCAGCCCCCCGCCACAGAGGTGAAGTCCGACGACCAGGTGATCTGGGAGGTGGGCACGACCCCGCTGGGCCCCTCGATTCCAGTGTACGTGATGCCATCCACCTCCAGGACGTCCCAGTAGTCCTCCACATCGAACTGGCCAACATCGATGGGGATGGTGTTGCTGGCCGCCACGAGGATCACACACGTTTGGTCGTTGCTGTACTCCTGGGGATAGTTTGGGCTTGTCAGGCAAAGGTCCTGGCCGATGGCGCAGTCGCCGGATGCCACAAACACCACTTCCCCTTCTGGCAAAGGCGTCGGCGGAGCTGGAGCGGGGCTACTAAAATACATGTCAACCCATTCCGCCACTTCGGTGACTCGGGCCCACACTCCAGGATAATCGTCGGCGCAGCCGTAGCCCCACGAGGTGACGCCGTGGAGCTCAAAGTAGCCCGCGTCGTTCTGACAAACCAATGGACCGCCGCTATCGCCCTGGCAAGCGTCCGCAATCTCGCCGTTCAAGACTCCCTGGGCGCACAGCATGTTGTCCGTGATGGTAGTGTCTGAATACATTGCGGAGCAATCCTCGTTGCTCAGCGTCGTCACCTCCGCCTCCTGCAACGTATCCGACGTGTCTCCGCCCGCCGTCAGCGTGCCCCAGCCCGAGATGTAGCACGTGGAACCGACTGCCAACGTCGAGCTTGGGAGGCAGGCAATCCCGATACAGTCGCCCAGGGTCGCCTCCTCCGCAAGCTCCACGAGCGCGAAGTCCATGTCGAAGGTGTAATCGTCGTACTGCGGATGGGGAACCCGCCGACGCATGCAGGCCGCTGGCGTGTGAGCCCCAGACCTCCGACGTCCTAAGTTTCTCGCAGCGCCATCTCCAGATCGGGGACGCACTAACCAATGACAGCCCCAACCCAGGTCGGCCAGGGCCCTGTCGCGAAGCCAGGCAGGCCACTCAGTAGCTCCCAAACCCGGGTCGGCAGAGGGCACCCAAGGTAAATCGCCCCATTTGGCTCTCAAGCCCGGGTCAACCAGAAGGGATTGGCTGACCCCCGTTAGCGCTGACCCCCGTTACATGAGCCCTGATCGGGGAAACGTAGAACTCGGATCCGCGGCCCTCGGGTTGGCCCGTCGGGGCCGTCGGGACACTGACGAGACCCAGCCGTCAATCCCACCAGCCTTCTGGGCGTGAGCGGTTTAGCGCGTTTTCGCTTCTATAGTATCTCTTCCCCTTCGGGGAAAGGTTCCACCCTTTCCCCTGCAGCCCCCCCTGGACCTGGACGGGGCGCCCCGCGACCGTTTGGAGCGTCCAAAGCGGCCCATGGTGGCAACAAGAGGGCATCAGAGAGCCCAAGACGGCCTCCAAGATTGCCCGATATTGCTCAAGATGGCTTCAAATATGTCCGAGAAGCTCCAAGACCACCTCAAGACGGCTCCAAGTGGCCTCGGAACACCCCAAGCAATTGAAGGGGGTTGGGAGGCCCAACCGTATCTCGTCGAAGGCGAAGACCGTATCCAACTCTGCTATACCGTAGTAGCGATAGTCCCGAAGCAGGAAAGAGTCGCGGGAGCGACGGGCCATGTCAAACGATGATGTTTCGGTCTCAATGGCAAATAGTGTACTTCGCGATGGGGCGCAATCATATCCTGGCCTGGCGGCCGGCCGCTTGAGCACAAACGGCCGCGGACAAACGCTCGTTACCTGTCGCCTTTGCCCAACCTCCTTTAGAGTCGGGGGGAGGCGACGAAGCGCGAGTCCGCCGCCACCTATACAGCAAAAAGCTATAATACACCAAGTGGGCAGCAGCAGGCGGGTTCAACACAGGCAGGTTGGCCCGCATGCAAGTTGCCTTGCAAGCAAGTTACCTCGCAGGCAAGTTACCCTGCAGATAACTACTCCTCTGGCGGCTCATATGATATTGTCTGGCCAGCCCTGTAGAAAGTATGTTGTGTTAGGTCATGCTTGAAGGATTGCGCTCCTCCCATGACGTGTAGGAGCATGTCTTTGTCGATGCTCCCCTTGGTGTGTCCATCTGCAGTCATGTCGCGAGTGTCACACCAGTGCACACAATGCGCGATATCTCGTTCCATCATTTGTCGTATCCAACCGATGTGTCGCAGAAGTGTACACACAGTCGACTTCTTCAGGTCTTGCTTGACAAGGACTCGCAGGCACATTCTGCATCGATGGTCGCCTTCATGCTCAGGCCGCCCATCTCAAGTATATCCTTCAATTGGGTGGGTGTCAGCAGCCCTGCGTGGAGTTCGTGCAGAGTGACGATCGTGGGATATCAGTCCTCGGGCAGCTGCAAGTGTTTCCGCTGTGTAGCCCGAGCGGACCTGCAAGCGGAGAGACTTGCAGTGCGCGCCGACAAGAGCCAGCATGCGCGCGCCCACGCCTTAGCAGATTTGCCCCGCGAATACCATACACTTTGACTTCGTCATCGGCATCCCTGCTCAGACGCCGGTAACTGGAGTCGCTATGCAGGTCAAGCTCGCCCGTTGGCGCCATCGCTTGATGCGCGATCTTCTTTGGGCAGGCCTGCAACTTTCTAGTTATCGCGTTCTGTCGTCGCACTTGCGCGTTGGCCGGCTCCTGGGCATGCTGCAGCGATACAACGTACACCATTCGCCACACTTGCGTGATCAGGGCGTAAAACAAAGCGCCTCTGAGGCTGACAGACATGTCAGCAACCATCTTCGATGCCTTGGCCCCGGCATCTGCGCCGGCGAGTTCGCGATGCCGGATAAGACGGAGCTGTTTTATGGACTCATCTAGGTCAAGAGAAACATTGCCGTCGCTCTCCTTCGCATATATCATGGCACTGTTGGCATGTGTGTTTGTTGAGTTCGCATTTTCCGAAGGTGTCCCCAACGCACTTGACGCACTTGTCAACGGTGCCCTCGGTGCAGGCCATGTTCATGTCATCAACATGCCTGGCAGTAGCAAGGTTGGAGCTTGTCTCGAACTCCTCGTCGCAGGACGTGGGCTTGAGACAGAGGCCCCCCGTGGTCTTCCTGAGCTTCAATTAGAAAGCTCTCGGTGCATCCTTGGTGCCAGTGCCTGGTTTGAGGCGCTGCAAACAGCGCCTCGACTCATCGTGGTGCTCGAATCCCGGGAGGGATCCGAGCGCAGATGCCGATGCAGTTCGCAAACCTAAAGCACGCCGCGCGTTCCTTTTCGCCGGTTACTTCAGCAAGCTCCTGGGAAGTGAGTCCCTTAAGGAAAGCCATGGTGATGTCGAGGGAAGCAATGATCCACTGCTTCCTGCAGGCTGCCGCGCTGGCGGGCAGTCGCCGACTTGGCCGCCGCGCCGTCCCGCATAACGTTTCCACGTCGAAGGTTTCGAGGCCCATGGGGCCCCGAAGTGCCAAGCGTAGTCTGATGGCACGTTCCAACTCACCCTTTTCGTTCTTGGCAAACGACCATCTACCTGCGCACCTCGAAGTCATGATGTTTGGCGCTTTGGAAAGATCTTGTATCTTGAAACGCATGTTGTTAAACCATGTCTTGCAATCAATATATTGGGCCTATCAACGCCTTGACTGGATTCGCCTGGATATCTGCCTTCGCGAGAAGGTCGCCCTCCTTGACGACTGCAGCTCGTTTAGCTGCAGCGGGCACATATACTTGCATAGCGGGTCGAAGTCAGATATCCTGCGCTGCTGCTTGGATGAGGCTACCTTTACGCTTGTGCCGTAAATCAAAACTCTACTTCTACGTATTGCCCGTGATCGTCAGAGTCCAAGCCGTAACTGTCATTTTCGCCCGTGGAGCACAATGGGACATGATATGTCTCGGTTGTGTTACAGCTCCTGTGACCAGCGCACTGCTGTCAATGATCACCTGTGCAAGTGCAGCGTAGAGCTCGCCAATTGGATTTGCCACCAGCAGTTCCCTTTCGTCTTGTAGCGCTGCGTGCCACACTTCCATGATGTGTCTCGAGGTCCGCCTCTATGATTTCTAGTAGATGGTGGGAAGCCGTCCGTCTTCCTGTGGTGGTTCGATTTCTAGGGCCCCCCTTTAAATGTCCTGTGAATGTCGTGCGTCGCCGTGCTGGGCTCGCACATCGCGGTTCCCAACTCGCATGATACTTCGACCCCTGACGGGGTCGTTCCGCGCGACGGGGAAGGGTCCATTCCAGCCACCCCAGTCGTCTTTCGTGATAGCGGGGCAATGATAGTCAACCAGATTTCCTTCGTCATAGTAATGCTGACTAATGATTGTCGTCTTGGTCCGCAGTGCACGGCTCGTCTTCGCTATTGCAAAGGCTCGAGCGATAGCCTCGAAACTTACCCGGCTGATAGTCTGCTCTCGAAAGCGATCGGATGTCCCTGTCTGCTGCTCGTGGTCCAAAAACAGGCAGGTCGGGAAACATCGCATGTTGTCGGCCAAACAATGCGTTGCATGGAGACACGTCAATAAAGAAGGTAAACGCATCGGCGACAAACAGAGCCTCATACAATAGTCGGGTGAACACACATGGTATCTCTAACCTATTAAGTTCAGCCTCCATGGCGTGAAGTAGGTGTCGTTGTATGTCATTTATGGCTTCAGTGGTCGTAGCGTGATTGTTGTCCGCGCGCACGCATCCTCAGCTCAGTGCCTTTGGCCTTAAGAACTGCCTTTGCGGCGTCGTTATTGCGAGCGCCTTCTCCGTCAGAGTAAACTGCTTTGGCGGCTCCGAAATGCGTCCAACACTGATGATGCGCATCGAAGATGCCCGCCGTCGTTTTATATTGTATGTCGATTCCAGCACCGCATCGAATGCAGCGGTCGATGGTATGAGATATAGGTTGCTCCTGGTTGCAGAGCATCAGGTCGCATTCGACTTCGTCATCCGACTTGCCAGGTAGTGCGGTAGACGGTGCGATAGCATGTCCAAGCTTTTCCCACAGACACCTTCTTATCAAATGTAGCCGTATGCTGTCTAGACCAACCTTGGTTAAGCTAAGTCTCGTTTTAGGCTCCTTGGCGCGGAACAACCGCATATGTAGTTTCCGTAACTCGCGTGTTACCGCGTTTGGGTCGAGGCCGCGCAAGTTCTGCAATGCTGATTTGCACGTGGAACCTTGACCAGTCTGGGAGCCGTGGACGAGAAGCAAGGTCACCCGCAGGTGGTGGTGGAGGTGGATCACCTCCCTGTTGTCGCCCACGTCTGGCTACTACTTGTGGAGTCGCCTGCGGTCGTCCGATCTGCCGGCGCCACTTGAGGCGGGTTGCCCCGCAGTCGGTGCAGCGGCATGTCTGCCTACTGTGATGCAGTGGCTGCTGGCGCCTGCTGTCGGCCCAGCTCTGGAGCCGAGCTTCGGGGCTCGTGGCCGCGCAATTTGTTTGGCGGCTGGTGCCGCGGAAGCCTTTGTCGCCGCAGGTGCTGGTGCGTCGGAAGCAGCTGCCGCCGCAGGTGGTTGGGCTGTCGGTTCGGCGGGGGCTGGAGGCCCCTGCCCGCGGCGGTTAGGCAGCTTCCACAATTTGGCAAACTTGCATTTGCCAGGTGTCAGGCTTAGCCTTGCCGTGTTTTTTTTTTTTGCAGTTTGGACATTCCCAGTAGTAGTCCTCTTTGCCGTGCCACCTACAGTGTTTGGGGTCTCTATCCTGCGATGGGGCGTGCATGTTGACGTTTATCAAACACGCGCAAGATACCCCCTATTCTCCCGATGGCGGTCGCATGAATTATCCGTCAGGATGTCGAAGGATAATTGGTTCATCAAAATCGAACTCGCGTGTGTTCGTGGCAAGAACAGATGACGCATGAGGATGACCATGGGACCTCGCTTAACTGCGATCA